TGATTGCCACTACTTGAAAATTATTGTGCGTTGCGTGTTTTTCTTACTGTCTGGGTGCTTATATATCAATAATATGTGTTTATTTACAAAAGAAAAGTACACTTAAGTGTTTTTATCAGTATAGTTTTTATACAAGTTTTGCTTAGTTTGGGACTGTTATCTAGTCTATGAATGGGCAGGTCCATTCGGGGTAGTACCACGATATCACAGAAGACTGGCGTGAACTTGAAGTGTTATACTTCTGCGTTGCCTATAGCGAGTGAGGAAGCCGTGGCTCACTTTATTAAAAGGTAGCAACACATCTGCAGAAAGTACCACAGACAAAACACCGATGCGTGTGGAGAATTTGTCTTCAAATTCGTCTACATCGCATAACTGTTGCCCATGGGCGGTGGTAACCACTTTACATATACATGGATCATATGTTGTCGCCAAGACAAATGTAATTTATATGCCTGATCGTTTTCTTTAAATTGGAAGGTCAGTTGTAAGTTTTAAGACCAATACAAAGCGTATCTACGCTTAGCTTCACTTTTCAACTGTGTCGCTGTGGTTTTTCTGAATTGTAACATGTCTTGTTCTTTAGGCATGTATTTTTGAATAATAATGACGCCTTGTGCGAGTACGCTTTCTTCGTCACTTCCAGTAGGAAGATTTAAGTATTCCACGCATGGTCACGTCTATCAACCTTCGCCTCGAAGAGAGATTTTTTTGAACGGCTGTTAGTTCATTACGGCTATTGTTCTTCGCCCGTGCTATTGTTGAGAACGCGCATTGCGAGTATCCCATCGTCGCTTATCAATGACATTGCGGTGTCGGAAGAAAGTGTAGCCACCATAGAACGCGATCTGATAACGTGACAGACAAACAGACGTGCGTCCGACGAAGTGAGAAACGGCGGAACGAAAATACTTTCGCGCATTCAATCCATCACCGATTGATATGGTGCACTTTACGTTTTTGATTAGCACAGGTGTCTGCGTGTAAGAAACGGCGTCAGCGAGTTGTTCATATGTGTGTGTACAAACATTCATTAAACGTAACGCGGTGTTTATATCTAACACATCTATTGGACATATTTTTAATACATTCTTATAAATAAAGGAGAGCATTTATGGACATAATAGTAAACGTGTAATCGGAGGCATCTGCACCTAGATCAAAACCAGTATAAATCATGGTTTGGATCGCGTAATTGCTAGACTAAAGATGAACACGACATAGAACATAGATGAACACATATGTATATGTCTTCGCAGCTGTAATGGGTATTTTGTATCTGTAAGGCTCCTTTATGTGCATGTAAAAATCCTTTCCTACATCTGAAGGCCGATTTTTGGATTTATTTTTGTTTTAACAATTATTTTAATTTTGTGTTGGCGAGAAAGTGGTACTGGTTCTTACTTCTCTACCGGAACTGTTTTCTATTTAAAATAATTCAGTAAATCAATCTGGCCCAATACAACTTGCATTCAAAAAAGTAAACTAATAAAATCCGTAGTTAAATCCAAATCGTGCCGGTTCCGTGACATTTACTGCAGCGGATTATCTCTAATTCTAAGAAGGGCCGTTTGACTTAGTTTTCATCACTGTCGTATAAGTTAAGTTTTCTTCTAAATCTTGTTTCCGATAAAACTGTTATAAAAACACCATTCCAACTAAGCTGCACCTTGTTCCGAAGTGTACCGAATGCCGTCGAATATTAATGGTACAGCACATATATTATAGAATATTAAATATTTCTCACGTCTTCCGTAACCTTTTTAACGAATTACAAACTACATAACTGGAAACGTTCAGCAACAATTATTTACCGTTGCATTGAATTATTCAATGCTATCTTCGACTGTCCGAAATACCGATCCGTTGGTTATGTCAAGCTTGTTTATGATCAAGTATTTATGTAGATATGTGACCTTTTTGTAACCATATCTTGCATGCGACTTTAATGGAATTGATGAATCAACTTCTATGGCAATCATTTCGTTATTAACATTTTATTACGCGAAAGTTTCTTGTAGATGAGTATATGTTTTTACGTGTCGTTCTTATAGCGATTATGCGCGTCGTAATCTCGTTAAATACAACAGGAGATAATTCGTAACTTTGAAATTAAACATGTCATTCATCATCGTTACATGTGTTGTTGCTACAACTGATCGCCTAACACTCGCTTCTTTACGCACTTGAGTCAATATGGGAACTTTCTCTAAGCCCAATTTGCTTTTCCTCGTTACGTTCGATTTCGTTTTATAATGTTTCTTTTTTTTGTCTTGGAAAGTAGGCGAATTTTAAAGCCGCCGCCTGATATGACGGACCTTAACTAATTGTTGAGAGTAGTTTGATCTGGTATATTAGAATCTGCAAAAACTTCGTACCGAATGGCCCCTTTTCTCGCTGCTGATGATAAAACTAAGTCTAAAGTCTTTTATCTACTAATCCGAATAAAGTTTTTCTTCACATGTTTAGCGATAGCTATTTAGAACGTGGAAGAGTTTAAATAGTGTTTGTTTGACGCCAAGAGATACTATCAAACTAACTTTGTAGCAAATTTACAATCTCCTTTATATTTATTCATCAACGAACACGTGCGTTCGCTGTATACTGATCTCCGATTGCACCTTAAACTACTGGTCACGTGCCATCATAATCATGTCCATAAATTTAAGCTTCGACGCCGGTTACCGTTACCATGAAGCGGACATATTAAATTGTCACACAAAATCTCTGGGGGTCAAACAGACCCTTTCCCTACGGTCACCGGGCTATTAGAAAGTAAGCTCCAGTTCTCCGCATAACCGAGCCAAGATCGGTCTACTTATCAATGAGATATTCATGGGAAAGAGCGATTTCGAGGAAATTACGGTCGCCGTGTATAAAAGTTTTGGGGTTTTGCTATTGTGGATGAATGTATGTCTATTTACTAATGTACTTTAATATTGTAATCTTCAAATGAAACTAACAGTTTCGTGTGTGACTTTTTTTACTACAATATTATGTTGTATTGTGGTTTAAAAACGTTTGATTATAAACGACCATCTTGGTGCAAATCGTTTTGCGTTCAGTTTTCACGACTTTATCTTAAACGTGGAGCATTCAATAGCAGACCCGAGGTGGGCGAATCCCAACACTTATCGCTGACCCTGTCATAAACTATTAGAATCGGCGATCGTGCCGTGTGAATGGGAACTTTTTCTTTATGGTCCCCGTCGCAATGCGTGGATTTTCTTTGTTGGGTCCGTTAGAGCCGTAGCGTTACTCCCACAATGGTATCTAACGCTCACACCGACCAGTTTTGCGAAATAACCGAGCTATTGATTTCAATGTTCCCATAATTTTTATTGTTATTTTAAATTGTACCCCCATCGCATTGGATACAATTTAAAATAAGAATGAACAAAGCGACCTGCCTTGACTTTGTTCAAATCGAATTCAGTTTTATAGTCAGTTAGTCAAATAATATATCTTTCTAATGTTATAAGCGACACAGGGACTATTGCCTAATGTGGGAGGCTTAGATAATACAAAGAACAAATATGAAAGAAATAAAGAAACATACGTATCGTAGTACCAGATTTGTAGTCACTGGCGTTGTAACATCTGTCTTTGACAAATACAGTGTTTGTTACGATATAAATAGGTAAACGCAAAATATTGTCATACAGTTTCTTTCCCTACCATTTTTGTGGTACTGAATTATTTTGTATTGTAATGTACATATGTTATATTCAATTAATGTTGTGTACTGGAGTAGAATTCGCTTAATTTTCAACACCGATTACGGCCTCGAGGTGAACACTAATAGATAATAAGCATTATAACAGTAACTATGCATTAACCAGCGCCTTAAACTAAAACTCTCGAACTGCGGTTTATGCCTCGTCGACTCTTGTTGTGAATCAGCCAATTGGTGCGAAACTCGGAAAATTGCCGCAACTATTGCTTTCCAACGCGTCTAGTTCAATCCTCATTGACGTCGTCTGGAATCGGCTGCCTTGTTTTCAATTCGGAGAAAGTGTGACGCGATCAAGTGTGTGTGTGATCTAATATCGATGATGATAACGATGAATTTGTCAAGGTGATTGAGAAATATTTCTTTTCGCCGATTTTTACTCTCTGTCTCTAAGCCTACTACGTGCTTTTTTATTTTAAATGTGTATCGACTTAGTTTACGACTTGTTATTAGTTTAGTGTCGTTGTCAATTTTGGAGAGAAACTATATTAATATACTATATTAATTATGCAAAATAACTGCTCTTTTTATCGTCTAAGTAGTTTTTAATAATAAAGTTTTTAAGTTAAATACAGAAGTAGCTACTATGTTAATCCGTCACAAGCGATCGACCAAAATAAGCTTTATGATCGACTTACAATCGATTTTTTACACCAAATAAATTACATATTGATAAAAATGAAAATAGCTATAGTACTTTACGATCTCATTTTTATATCATACCTATCTCCTTAGATAAAATACTAAATTTCATGGGACACATCAGCTATTTGTAGTTATGAAAAATTATCTCTGTCAGGTCATTTGGTTACAAAAGACGTGGGAACTCGTTTAATAGAATAGTTACTCAAAGATTTTTTTTTTTTTTCCAGAACCGGCCGAGAGGACGACCAACGCCCGCGCCGAGAAGGCAAAAGGCACACCAGCAACCCAAAATGTGACCACCGAACACAGAACCAAATCACCCAACGCGCTCTTCAAATTCATGAGTCTCACAAGATTACATGATCAAGACCTACTCGCTATTTATTATACTTATTATTTAAAACGATATATAAACGATTCTAGTCGCCGTAGTTCTTTTACAACACGAAGCAATTTAGACTTAACTGTAAGAACGGATGGAGTTGATTTTGCAATAGCAGCCTCCGAAGTACAAAGAGTATTGATGCATCGACGAAACAGTACAAACGACCTCGGGGACCCTAATGTTGATTTAGCAGTAAATTGATTGATTTAGAAGTTCCCGAAGCATAAACGAATCAAGATGTCTACGAGTGAGTATACTATTTATATTTTGTTTTAACTAATACATAATCCTATTTAAGGTAATTTGTGTTTAATGGAGGTCGTAAATTACTTTATTATTTTTTTATATTTATTTACACGGTTGAGTTGACTTTTGTCGTTTAAAAATATAGTATAGAAAGAAAGATCTAAATATATAAAATGTTTACCCTCTTTATTTTATGTTTAAACACTTTTAGAACAGTAAATACAAAGCGATTTCCTTGAATTGGAAAAACTTTATTATCACAGACAATCGATCTCGAAGCATTTGACAAATGCTTATTGATAGCCGTCGTTCTCGGAAGAAGGGTTAGGGTAAACACACGATAGTTGACTTTTTTCTACACGAAAATAACTCTTACGGCTTTGTGTGCGATGTCATCAAAGATAAAAGAGTCAATAGCATATTCACAACCTTGGAAGTCTTTTGGAGTCGCAAGCTCAAAGCAAGAATGAAATTACTTAAGATTTTTACTAAGCTATCAACAGCTACATGCTCACTTGCCATCTAGCAAGATCAGATGTGCTGTCTGTTTGTGCGAAAACAATTTAAAATCATCACAATGTGACTCATGAGTCACAAGATACTTAAGTTATCTGTTACATGTCATATCATGTCATCGTTCTCAACCTATTCTATACCGCTTGGTGGTCAGCTGGCTGTAGATGGTGAACAGAGACTTTGTAGTAAAATTTTTTTTATCCGTTTTGACACTTCCGCTATTGGCTAGGAAGAAAAGACTATCCTGGCAACGATCCTTTTCTTCTCGACTTTTTCCTTGATGCCGCTTGAGTCCTTTCCTTTTCACGGAAGTAACGAAACAACTCGCGGCGTAGTTTCTCTGAGGAAATAACGATTGAGGATTAAGTTGCTTTGTACCTATTGATTTTGAGATTCATATTTCTCGAATTTTCTTGTCAACTTTTCTGTATCTAACTGTTGTTTTGTAAAAATCGAAAACATTTTATTTCTATTCCTGTTAAAGGTTTCGAGCACTCCGCAATGAAGAGCAGTTTCTCGTTGTCATCGCTACGAAGCGCACCGGCGCCGCCTGGCGGCCGCTGCGAGCAACTCGAGAGGCCCTACCATAGTCTTACTAAGAAGAGGTTCGTTAGTTCTGTATTTTACTTTTATTCTGGTGCATTTTTAGCACTGGCTACAGATATAACAAGCTAAGAACACCAGATTTATGTAGGTGTGTTTTGTTTATGTATTACATATTATTAGTGAACACTTTGTGACTACATATACTCGTAGACATTCAGGTAATAAGATATGCCTACACTTTTTAAATATGTATACATCACTATATCAAAATCTTCTTTCGTTCTTCATGGATGTGTTAGTTTTGAATTTAGCTCAGTAAAGTTGAACTGCATTGTGTTAAGGCCACGCTATTACACGAACGGGCAGGCTCGTCCGGAAAGGTACCACGGACTCACAGAAGAACATCGTGAAGTGGAAGTACTTTCGCTTTTAGTTTGGCGAGTGAGGTAGCGGGGGCCCATTATTTTAAAGGTTGTCAAGGAGCTGTAACACCTGAGAGCTTATTGAGAACAGACAGCAAGCTCTTAGTCGTTGTGGCATGCATAATATTCTGGTATTGTAGTACTAAACATTCTAGCAGTATTGCTAGGATGTTTATAATTAATTCATACCTAGCAACATAAGAGATCAAGTGAACTAACCATGACGGTAACGAATCAATAGGTAATAATAGACGGGAGTCAAGACCGTGCTAGAAATAATGAAAATAATCAACAACTTACTGGTGTAGGACAACGCAGCAAGTCCTATTGTTGCATAAATGTTCAGCTCGTCTGTCTATCATAGCTTTGAGTTTTGTTTTGGGTGACTGGAGTGATCGCTATTAGTTACAATCTCTCTGCAACTCCACAGGTGAAGTAGATGTTAAAGGCGGTAGTCACTTAACATTAGCTCAACCATCTGATCGCTTGCGATCTTCACACATAAAAAAAACTCAGTGTAAATGACTTATACATTACTTCATAGTACCGTTGATGAAGTTGCCTCCCATTGAATGCCCTATTTTTTGCAGGCCCTGCACAAGTATTTAGTAGTAGTAATAGTTACAGGTTTTAATGGGATCATATAATTTGCGATTTTCAGGAAAGAGCCGTGCAGAGAAGCTTGGCGCAGGAGTTGGGGATCCGCAGCCAGCGGCGGCAGCGCGGGCGATGACCTCTGGCCTCTGCTTCAGCATCACTACGACTATATCATGGACAATCAGATCATCGATTCATGCAGGGTAAGCGTGTTATCGTGGAAATAATATGTATATTAATTTATTTGGTTAATAAACAGATACAATAAGGCTTGATCTCATCGTATTACTTTACACGTCGTTATCGTTATAATTTTTCGATTTTAATACAATTTTATAAAAGAGTATGGCAGACCAGTCGACATATCTCGTTGATATCACCATAGATGATAACACCACATTGATATCACTATCTGCACAGGGTTTTTTAATTTTTTTTTTGTTAAAAGCATTGCTCTTACTGTAGGATAACATTATACGTACTGTAGGACACTGATTACACGATACACACACTTGATACCTGGACAAGGAACCAAAACAATTATCTGTGGGTCACAAAAATAATTGTCCCGTGTGGGAATCGAACGCACAACCCCGGCACTGACCCTCAAAACTGTATTCAGTTGTCGATGATTCAATAGATTTCTTCGTCTGTAATGTGTAAATAAATGTAACAAATTTTACGGATTTATCGCGTTTATTTTGAATTTTGTTTCCCGAAGTTTCGAAACCTATCCAGCCTTCATGGTCATGCCAGTCTGTCTCGTTTTCAAAAATTAGTTGATGTGAAATCGCGTAAATGCAATAAATTATCGTGTCATGTGATTTTTATTATTTTTATCGTTACCCGCAGGAGGCGAACGGAGAGCTGCTGTCCACAGCTGGGTATCCTCTCAGGGGGGGCCGAGGTTGTTGAACCCGTCGTCGGGCCCCAACCGCCAGTGGTCCCTCAGCCAGCTGATCGCCGAGTTCTCCGAGCTGTGCCAGTGGCTCACTTACGTGCAAGAGGAGATATACTCTAGTCCGGAGAACCTCTCCAGCGTGCAGCTGAGGAAGGTAAGGGCCAAGTGGGGTATGCTTCCTTCGTTGTTCACGGCTGCATAGTCTCTTACGCGATCTAAATTCCACATCTTTGACACGTTTTGTGAATATTATTAAACGAATCGAATTCGGATAGTGAGGGGAAAACTAAAGTTAAAACCGTCTTGTTGGCTTAATGTGTCGAAAAGAGGTATTGGTACCTTTTAAAGTATTATTTTTTATACAAGGTTTACTAAAGGTGAATAGCATAATGGTCTAATTTTTGTTTTACTTTACCGACGGTCATTTTGGGAGTATGCCGTTGAAACGGTGTATTCGGTTACATTCCATTAAAGGTGTGCGTTTTTATATTAACGTCATTTAATAATTTTACTAATTTTGCCACGAAATGTTGCCACGAACGCTATTTCAATAGCTATATACCTTTCAGCGATAATTGGCTGTCTTGTCACCAATTAAAATCATTATAAAATCATCATATTAAAAAAAAATTGCTGCCTATAACAGTTGCACTTTACTATTTTATTTCCAGAGCCGCATGGCGGAGTTGATGTCGGTGGAACCGCGTCGTGCGAAGTTCTTAGAGCAGGCGGCCGCGATACTGGATCGGATACCGGAGGCTTCCGGCGAGGTGGGTTCTTATGTGTTATTTACTCGAAAGAATATATTACAATCTCGATATCGTTACTGGAAAGCGAAACTGAGGCATTTGGCGGTTAACAAATTTTGCTTTTTCATTGACGTATAATAATCGTTGTCATCATTTCTCGCTGTTTGAATCCACTGCTGAATATAGACCACTCCAACAGACTGCTCTACGAGGCATGATCCTGCATAATTATTTGCATAGGTTGTCACCCTATCATTTCCTCCCACATTTTGTCATTTGATCGCCAAAACGAGGCTGCCACTCGAGAACCATTTTACCCCATTTACTTATACCGTAAACATCAAATCTGATCGGGTTTCTCATCTGCTTGATTGCTCCTTTGGTCAACTGATCTACTGTTTCACGTCTGTCCATCTATATTCCAATGTCCATACACTGCCGGCCACCGTATTCAGTATATTTTTCTGTTTTAAGGTCAAATCTTGCTTTAGTTTTGAATACTATAGGCTTTCCTCGTATTACGACTCACAACGGCTTACGGGAAACTCTATCGCCAAGAGCGTGAGCTTTGGCTACCCACTGATCATCATCATCGTTTTGGCCCGTCCTAGTCCAATGCTGAAGAGGAGCCGCACTAGAAGGAAATATTAAAAAATAAACATACGAAGGTATAACGCAATCGATGTCGTTATAGGTCTCGTGGCGAACGGAGCATCTGAACGTGAAGTGGGAAAGCCTCCGCTTGCTCCTCAATCCCGAACAGCAGCAGAGGGACGGTCAAAGCTCCGATACAGTCGGTTGGTCATTTTGTACTTTTTTAAATAAACTTTTACGGAGTGCGATTACCGTGTGTTGTAGCGGCGTTGCTATTAACTTTGTTTACTAAAACGCACATTTACGGCTTGAAGTCCCAATAGTGGGCAAAGGCCTCCTCTGTGTAGAGAGGCCTTTAACCACCATGCGACGTCACTGCGAATTGGGTGACTTCACATATGTTTAATCATTTTTTTGTTATCACGATGTTTTCATTCATCGAAGGGCTCGCGACAAGTTGGCACTTAAAAATACAGTTAACAATTTTGTTGGTGCTATTGTGATTTAAACTCAGGTTGCTCGAGTCTTGTTTCTCCTGCCCATATCCCACCTAGTTGGGGTGGGAACAACATGATCATGTTGTTAATGATATTGGCTAAATCTTTCTGTTTTTACGACCGTCCACCTGCCTCACGTCAATTGTCTAAACTCTTTTTTATTCGTGGATTATTTAAATTAGAAATGGACCTCAAAGTGTGGATTGCGGTTTGATGTTGCGAATTGTAATCCATCACATGGGGTAATTTGGTGTAAAGCACTGACATTCCTGCGGGGAGTCGGTTTTACATGGACGAGACAAACAAAAGAGTGATTTAAAACAAATTTTAAAGCATTTTGCATGTGACGCTATCTATTATTCCCTGTATTAATTACAGAGTTATACGTAAATGAATAATTATCATGTTAACTTATAAATGTTGACTCTACTAGATAATGAATGCTATTGACGCCCAAACATGACATGTTCAAAGTGACCACTGCATGCGGGAAATAAAAAAAAACCGCAAACTCAAGACATTACACAACTATGTAGACAACTCACGGTAACAGCGTTATAAACTCCACCACAGATTATAAACTCCACCACAGATTATAAACTCGAAAGGGATGACTATGTGGCGGAGTTGCTGAGCTATGGCTTCGATGCCGGGTGACGTGCCTCCGCTGGAATAAGGGAAGGCTATAAGAGGATAGATCATCGTTATCGCTATGCGAAAGACGATCGGGTTCTGACAGCGGAGCGGATGTCGTTTCGTGTCGTCGTCGTGCACCGGCTATGTTGTTCTGTCGCGTTCGTGAATCGTTTGTCTCTGCCTCTTCCGCCGAAACAGTCACGCGGGACTAAAGGCAAACTGCATGTCACAAAAGAGATCGAGTTCTGACGTGCTAACGTGTTAGTCGTGATAGCTCACTCTCTGGACGCTCGCTTTTACTGCAATATACTCGGGCAACCTGAGTCCGATCCTAGGTGCTGACCAATGAAATTGTTAATTTTAAGTGCTGACATATCCCGTGCTTATCGGTGAAGGATAACATCGTGAGGAAGTCTGCGTATTTTCGAAATAATATCAAAAAAATATTTCGAAGAATTATGTCAAGTCTGCCAATCCGCAGTGGGGCCGCGTGGTGGACTATGCTCTGATATCCTCTTTTTTTATGTGAAAAGTTGCCAAGCGAACAGGTGGTTCACCCGATGTTAAGTGAATACCGCCGCTCATGGACATCTGCTAATCCCGAGGGTTGCAGATGCGTTGACAATTTTGAAAATTGGGCTCCAGCTACCTCGCTCACAAGACAAAACGCGAAAGTATTTGTTATACATCCACTTTACGCCAATCTTCTGTGAGTTCGTGTCACTTACCCGGACGAGCCTGCCCATTCGTGCAACAGCCGAGGCTGCTGCGTGGCCCTAGCACAGTCTCTGTACAGGGGAGGCCTTTGCCCAGCGGTGGGACAAGTAGGCTGTTACTTCACTATTTACATGTTTCGAAGATCCCGGCCACGAGTTGCGCTGCCTCCGCCGCTGGCTGCACGTGATGGAGGGCCGACTGCCGCCGCCTTCGCTCGCCGCCGCCCGCGCCGCCCCCTACCACGATCTCATCAGGCGGCTGAGGGAACACCAGGTGAGTCACCACTGCATCTCACTCTAACAGCCTCAGGAATTTATCTACAGGACGAATTTGACTCTTCGTACATTGAGACTAGTCGGCTTACTTATAGTCTTATTTATTTATAGAGTAGGTAAATCATCAGCCACTATGAAAAACAAATAATAATGGTTTTTACTAGTATAATAACCCGCGCAGCCCCCTACCACGATCTCATCTGGGGGCTGAGGGAACAGGTAAGTCACCACTCCATCTTACTCCAAAAGGCTCCGGATTTTAACCATCGACGAATTTGGCGCTTTGAAATCAGTGGTTTTAGGTGCGTTTGAATAACGAATGACGTCTAGACTTATTTATTTATAGTGTAAGTATATCAATAGTCATATAAATACATTGAAAACCAAAAATAGAATAATATTTTACTTATTACTTTTACTCATTCCAACAAGCTAATCGGCTGTTTTTTAGTGCGTTTCTGATTGAATGGCAAAATCTCTAGTTTTATTTATTTATAGAATAGGTATATTCATTTGCAGGTATATTTATCAGTTATAATGCAAAACAAACATTAATGTTTTACTAGTATGATGACCCGCGCCGCCCCCTACCACGTTCTCATCAGGCGAATGATAGAACACCAAGTGAATGTCCATCTCAATCCTACAGGCTCCGGATTTTAGGCACCGAAGAGTTTGGCTCTTAGAACATTGAGACTAATAGAGCCGCTCTTGCTAAGACTTTGTGTCATTTTGGTGTCATTTTCAGCTTAGGGAGGTTCGTTTTCTTTTATTCGAAGGCTTTTTACTTCTAGTCTAGTCAGTCTAGTGTAGTCTAGTCAGAAAGGATTCCGAATTTAACCAATTCAAAATGTCTTTATTCAAACAGTCGCCTGTGCGTTCTTATGAAACGACGAATTTTACATAAAAATTGATACATAAGTTCGTAAGTTACCACAGTTAAAAAGTTGCTCTTTTTTACAAAGATCAATTTACAATATCACATAGACATAATAGTCTTATTTTAGCCTACGCGAGTATAAATGACTATTTAAAAAAAATGTTTTATAAAATTGCTTCTGGTGTAGACAACATTTTAGTGAGAAATTTAATTTTTTTGTGCTAATCTCTGCACTTAATTTTAAGATTTTTCTACAAATTTTAACATTTTAGTGTCTTTAAGTTTCAAATAAAAAGTGCACAAAGACAAATATAATATGATCCCGATTCATTGTTGTAGTATAGTTTTTTTTAATATGCTTTCGATATGCAATATAGTCGTCACTAATGGTCTCCACATTTAGTCCAATAATAGTCTTAGTTCAATTTTAATGGCACGAAGCTTGTTTGGGTTATGTTTGCCTTATGCCTGATAACGGGGAGTAGGAAACCAAAAACTTCATTGTCAGGAACATGTCAAAGTTAAAAAAAAAGAATGTCTAAAATTAAAGCATTAATAACACGTAACAGTATAAATTGGAATGAAGTTAGTGTATTTTTTTTTTTTCATTACTTTTTTAAAACATTGCCCTTACTTTGGGATAACATTATCCTGTTTTGTAAGGACGTTTTTATGAACCTTAATTTCCCGCGGACAAGCACCCAGATGCGGAACTATTTGTGGGTCACACAAATAGTTGTCCCGTGTCGAACCCACGACCCCCGACGCCGAAGCCGATACACGGAGTCATCAAAGTGAGTGTATTGTACGTTATGTTGCAAAAACGCCGAATGAGGTGGACAGATACGTTTGTCAGTTTAATGTAACTCATATATTTTTTTGTGCTAGTCTTTGAGCGAATGTAGACATCTCTAATCTGTAAAAATGTTATTTGAGAAAGTGTGATAGCTGTAAAGGAAGACGCATTAGATAACCGCCAAGCTTAGGTAAAAACCAACCAATTGCGAGTCAGACACGCGCATGAAGGGTTCCGTACCATTAGCTATAAAAAAAACGTCAAAAAAATCGGTTGTACGGGAGCCCCGTTTAAATACATATTTTTTTTAATTCTGTTTTTTAGTTATCGTTGTTATAGCGGCAACAGAAATACATCATCTGTGAAAATTTCAACTGAAAAAACTATCCACTGTTCATGAGATACAGCCTGATGACAGACTGACAGACAGACAGCGGAGTCTTAGTAATAGTGTCCCGTTTTACCCTTTGAGTACGCAACCCTAGAAATGCAACAAAAAACAAGATAGATGAGATGTCGAGATTTTCGTACGGTGAGTTTCGACCGCCTAGCTTAGTGGTTCGATCGTTCCTGGCAGCGGCAAAAAAAATTGCGGCTTTTTTATCTACACTTTTTAATATCTCTAATATTTTTCGTTAATTCAACAATGAACAACATTTAATTTTGGCTTGCTTGCTATCATCATCTTGCGCATGATTATTTCCAATTCAGTTTTACAAATAAATCAAATTAAGTAGGTACTTTTCTTAACCGCGGGAATTTTGCTTTTATTTAACTATCACTGTATCAATGGTTTGTAAGTTATAAGAGAATAATTTATAACTAAGTTAATCATCATCATCATATCAGCCTGTTTGAGTCCACTGCTGAACATAGGCCCCCATAGACTGCCACAAAGTACGATTCTGAGCCACCTGCATCCATCGATTTCCCGCACATTTGCACAGGTCGTCACTCCATCTAGTGGGGTGTCGTCCTACACTGCGATGGCCAGTACTAGGCTGCCACTCGAGAACCTTTCTTCCCCAACGGCTATCGGTTCTACGAGCTATATATGGCCGGCCCATCGCCACTTCAGCCTGCTAATTTTCTGAGCTATGTCGGTTACCTTTGTTTTTCTGCGGATGTCTTCCTTACGAACTCTAACACGCAGAGAAATACTGAGCATGGCCCGCTCCATAGCTCGCTGAGCGACTTTGAGCTTCTTCATACGGCCAGCTGTGAAGGACCACGTCTCGGTTCCGTAGGTCATCAGTGGCAACACACATTGATTGAAGACTTTACTCTTCAAACATTGAGGTATATTCGATGAATTGGATTCGCCGATTGACCTCTGCGTCGAAGTTGGACTTATCTAACCGAGCCAACTGTCCTAGGTAAACGTACTCCTCAACAACTTCGAGCTCAGTGCTCCCAACAACAACCGGTATAGGCGTGACATGGACATTAGACATGATCTTCGTCTTGTCCATGTTCATCTTAAGGCCCACCTATAGGGAGACACTGCTGAGGTCATTGATCATACTACCAAGGTCCTCCAGCGATTCTGTTATGATGATTATGTCGTCGGCAAATCGAAGGTGGGTGATTCGCTATTGATGTTTATACCACGTATTTTCCTTTTATCCTTTCTGTATAACTAAGTTAAAAAAACTAAGTAAAATCAAAATAATTTATTTTCTAAAATTACATTTTTATTCATTTGATATTTTATCAATAACGATTACCTCTGTGATACCTAATAAATTTTATTATATTGTATCATCCTCAAAATTTTTATGTCGCGCTTTCAATCGTGTCATTACTTCACTCCAACCAACTCTTTGATTCTCTCTTTTGCGAGAAAAATAGTTTGACTTGGGGCATTATGCATAACGGTAACTACGATATTTATATAGTTCGCACTAATTTGAATTTTCGCTTGATTACAACCAGAAAATATTTCCGAATAAGGGCATCAGAGTAAAATAGTTTGTACTAACTGTTAATGCTTTATATTTCAACGACTTATACGATTTATACGAAAAGAAGTGAAATTGAATGTGCAGTTGAAAAACGCAGGGTATTGGATATTGTAACATAGACGAGTACCTACACTATACCTACACTAATGAGGTACGGTACTACACAGGAATTTGAAACGGGAACAGTGGACAATTGGTTTTTCTCTTTATTAGGTAGTTAACTTTAGTAAATAGTTTTAAAGTTTTTTATAGTGTAATCTCTGCACTTAGGATTGAACATTATAACATGTAAAAAAAGTACGAAAAGATTGTTCCGCTGTGGGAATATTTAAAATTTATAAAAAGCAATGGCGACATCTCTTGTTCGAATTATCGTTGTAAAACGATATTCGAAATTGTTTGTATGCTGGAAAGGATATAACAATAGATGCGCCAAGCATTGCTTCAAATGCTAAATAACAATGTAGAATGAAGGCGTTAAGATTTTCGTCGCTGTGGCTATCAGCCGTTTAGCTCAGTGGCTAGAACGTCAGGCCGCGAATGCCGAAGACGTGGGTCCGATTCCCACAGCGGCGACAATCTTTTCGTACTTTTTCTACATGTTTTAATGTTAAGTAAATAGTCTTAAATATACAGATTACGAAAATACCGTGATAATATACTTGCTACGATAAGACTACATCCACGCACACTCCTGCGCGTACGTGCAATGTCATTCAACGGACGTTACACTAAGCCGATTTCGTAGTGATGTATATGATAAGTCCACTGTCGACACGACATAATTCCCATAGCCCACATTGCGTGCGCCGTATCGCGTGTTATCTGGATTCCGAAATGGATGTTATTGCGTTTGCACAAGGTATAAATTCAAGTGTGCGCCTTTGAAAGGGTGCTCGGAGGACCTGTTGCGCTCTTAACATTAAGATTTAGATACGCATTATGTTTTATCGCCGTGCCGGTTGCTGTTTCCAGTTTTTATTTTTATTTCTTTTCGCTATACTTGTCCAGTTGAGTGTATTATTTAGTTCATAAATGGGAGCCATATTGCTTTGTAGGTATATAATATATACCTACGTATAGGTATATAATATATACTATATATAGTGTATGTAAAGGAACAAATTAATATTAATTTCAATTGCCCTTGTCTAATTATATTGTCTAATAATAATAGATGGATGAGTATTATTTACTGCACTCACGTATAAAGAGAAATACGTATAAAAAACTTCTGAAGTCTAAATTGCATAATGGCCAGGCTTATAACTAAAATCAATTTCGTAAATTCGAAATCCATTTCATCCTACCTACACTTTAATCGACGAAGGGATATCTAAGTTATTTAAATGTTCCCAAAACTTTTACTTATTAAATAAAAGGAACGTATCCATATTAACACCTATAAATATACTTTCAATCCTTTCCTTTGGTTTTTTATTGAATTATTCTTCCCATTCATCCGTTTTGTCTCATTTCAAATTTAACATATATTCTGTAACAGTTCATCAATGAAGCGGGCATTAAATTCGATTAACTTCGAGGGTATATTGATAGGTTTACGCGTAATTGCCTCTGGCGTTCGACGGCGCGCGGTGCCATCTCGTAAATCGGAGCCTATTAGGCGCTCCCGAGTTCGGATCGAATTTATCGCGTGCAATAACACTATATCAATACGGCATTGTGGCAGCGCGCGCAATGCTACTCGCATGCGGGAATGGAGACGATAAGTCAGTCGGTAACTGCCCTCAATTAGTTCGTGAGAAGGCGTAGGATTCTATTGAGCTCCGCGTAAGATTACACGTTGCTTAGGTTGCCTTTAATCCCTATAAGACGTTGTCTGTTTACTGTGGTAGCGCCACGTAACAGCTTCTGATGTTGCAAGAATGGGCAGGCTCGTCCGGGGTAGTACCACGGCCTCACGCCTTTCGCATGGTGAATGCCGGGGCTCACCATTTTTTAATGTGAAAAGTTGTCATGCGAGCAGACGGTTCACCTGATGTTAAGTGTATACCGCCACCCATAGACATCTGCTACACCCGA